AAACTAATGTATTGATTTGCATTGGAAACAAAATGTTAAGTACGGGAGCTTTGCATAGGCATGGGACCTCTCCTGATTAGCTTTCTCATGGGAATAGTTTGAGCTGTAGCCCTGCTCCCCCTCTTCTTTGAGGGTCCGAGATCCATTTCCCTATCAGGACTTGGCAATCTGGAAAGCCCAGAGATAAAACCCAAGATTCTTTCCATCCTTCCATTTGAAAAGGCCTTCGAGCTGATGACGGCATTTCTTCGAGAGGCTCTTTGACATGGGGACTTGGTTCAGGTTGTGCATTCAAGATAAAGAAAATACCTGTATAATCCCCTCTGGGAAGAAAGGATAATTACAGACTGCGGGTTTGAAATATAGCTGATGGCACTGACCTCCTTCCCTGGACCATCAATAAATACCTCTCTGCTGAGACACCAGGAAATGGAAGCAGCTGAACTCGGCAGCACCTCCTGGGTGAAGAAGGGCTGGTAAAGCCATGGCAGGAGCAGTCGCCTCTGGCTCACACCCACATGCAGATACTTCTTTCTAGATGTATCTCCATCTTATAATTTACATCAGAGACATTCAAATGAAGGTTAGATCAGCGCACTGAAAGCTCTTCCTGGAAGACACCAGCAATCCCTCATCTATCTGGAGCACCTTCCACCATGGGCTCCACACAAGCATCCCAGAACTTTCCACCGCTGCCAACCAGAGCTGCCCACACCCCATCTGCTGCGGGGACCAAAACTCAGGGCCATCATCACCAGACCTACAATATCGTGGCAGCAACCCTCAGCAGCTGCAGCAAGGAGCAGCCAAAATAGGCTTGCATGGTGGAGACGTCCCCTTTGCAGGGCAGGACAACGTGGGGCTCCTTCCACCTTTTTTTGGGATGGCCTGAACCTGTGGTGATGCCCGACACGGCTGAGCCAACAGGGAGCAGGGGGCTGAGATGCTTTAGGGGTGGCTGGAGACAGCGCTGTGCCTGAAGATGAGAGATCACTTTGTCCCAGGGAGTCTCCTGAAAGGATTAACTGACACCTCTTTAAAACCTGAGCTGTAGCACTCTCCCACTTCTGAAAGAGACATTGCAACAAAAGCTCCAGTATCCAGGGATTCAGTGCTGCTGAGGAGGATTTACCTGTAATGCATCTGAGGAGAGAAGAAAACAGTTCTTTAAGACGGGGCAGCAATTTGCATGTTCCCTCCAGACTCGTTTTTCCCCTCGCAGCACCCCGAGTTCCATCTGGAAACAAAACTGAACAAATAACACCACAATAAACAATTCCGTTTCCAAGTACCACAAATTCTCCTGCTTACAAATCATTTTGCAAGCAGGTAGCACATTTCTCCTATGGAAACGAGTCAGTACTTTGTCTTTTTCTTTTTGTAGGTAAAATCTCTTTTCCCTTAAAAAAAAAACCAACCAAACAAAAGCAAACCCAGAAGTGGATGGTGTGCACTCAGCCCCCGAGCACGGGCAGCATCACCACTGCAGCCTGGGCTGCACAGGCACCTTTTACATGTAAAAGCGGCTGTTTTCAGGAATCACAGAGGCAGTTTCAGACACAGATGCTTGTGAACCCAGATGAGGAAGGAAAGGAAGCACAGGAGCTCGAGGATGGAGCATCATCACCCCAGACCAGACTGGAGAGGGATGAGGAGGCAGCAGAGGTGCAGGGCTGCAGATCGGTCCATGCTGAAACTCGCTGGGGAAAAGCAGGACATTCTCCAAGGCTTTTGAGCTCCCTCAGTAAAAGCTTTTGAAGAACATGTTTCTTTTGCTCCTTCTTTAAAAAAAAACAATGCACCAACCTCTGCAAACCAGAATAAAAGTATCAGAAATTTCCTGCTTTATCTTGGGACACCTTGAAAGCGCTCAGCTCCTTGCTCCATCCTCTAGACTCACAAATGAGGGATCATCATCAGTTCAGTGGTGGTTCTTCTCTTTCACTCTGCTGCCTGGTATCTCCTGGAAAGCCCTCATAGAAACAAAGCTATGGAATCCCACCACACCTGCAGCATCACTGGAGGCAACAGGACCTCATGTCTGTGGGGATTGCCTTTCCATGCCTGTCTGCTTCTCCAAGGAGCATCACCACGGCCTGTGTTTAGGCTCTTGCTCAAATCCCTCTGGCTACATTTACCATCCAGGGGCTTCTCACCTGGAGGCACCTTTCATCCAGGGATCACTTGGCAAGTTTTAATTTGGTATCACAGCATCCCTCCCAGGTAGATCTAATTATCTCCATTTTATTGATGGAGACAGTCAAGCCCAAACTGGGGAGGTGACCTGCCCAGTGCCTTCAGTTGGACTGGATGATCTTAAAGGTCTTTTCCAACCAGAATGATTCTATAAAACAATTCCCTGGCAGAGCAGGGAGCTGGCTGCAGCCAGCCAAGAGGAACCACCACACATCCCAGCTGGTGGGCTCCCCGCTGCCTCCAGGCTGCTGGCTGCACTGGACATGGGGGACAACCCCACATGGGCAGGGTGCTCCCCAGCTCGGGGATGAAGCCTTTGGAGTTCTTGGAAACAGGGACTTGCTTTGAAATCGCTCTCTCTCTCTGCATCAGGGGTTTTCACGCCACAGCAAGTGGAGTTGTGGGAGCTTTTACACCCAGGGTGTGTTTAAAAGACAACTAGACCCCACTCAGCACAGAAAAGGATGGCTGATGGGAGAGCAGACAGCTTGTGGGGTCAGAGAGCAGTGAAGCCACATGTCCCTGCCACACAGCACCAGGACAGGTGACCAGCGAGGGAGTTTGTGTCACTCTGTGCTGCAGCTCCACACACACGTGAAGTATCACAAGAAGTACCTGCCTTGCCACAGTAACAGCAGCAGTGAGATGCTGAGTCTCATGGAAACGCTTCCTGTGACATTATACACAAGAAACTGGGATTGTTTCCCTTCCCACATTCATCAAGACGTCGCACACCCGATTGACACGCTGCCATTCTCAGCAGCTAACTTAAAAGTACAAGAGCATCCTGAGACAAGACAGTGGGTGACAAACACCTATTTCACAGCACTGAAGAGCAAGTCTGGAGCCAGGAAAGCAGAGGCCACACTTAACCAGTTTTCTACAGGTATTGTCTGAGTGTCAGGAGTTGCTGTGAAGCCCGGGTTGCTCAGGAAAGCGTTCCCACAGACCAGGAGCACCAGCATTCAGATCACACCCATACACCTGATCTTTGGTAAATCATTTAACTTGTTCTGTGCCTCAATTTTCCTCAGCTGCAATAACGAGCCAGCTCACACCAGTACAGCTTAATGGCTCCAGTGCCTGGTCCTGAGCCAGCACTGGGCTGGGGATTAGCAATGTGTGAAGCTCTTCAAGGTCTGTCAGCACAACCTTATTGCAAAATCAGGTTTCCCTTTCAAATCTGATTCCTCCAATACTCGTGCAGCTCCACCAGCTGCAGCATCCCCAGGACCAGAGGGTCACTGGGGCAAAACGCTTCCCTGGGGCTTTGGTTTGTGCTCACCTCTACCTGAGGAGCTGAGTATCAGCAACACCAGTCGAGGCCTCTTGGCTTTGCTGAGAGAGGAGCAGCAGGATGAATCTGAACTAAGCAAACCCTCCCACGGGGAAAAAAACCTCTCAGGAGTGCCTGGCAGTGAAAGAAAGAGCAAAACATCTTTAGGGGGACATAGTGAAGCAACCAAACCTCAAGGAGCGAGGGGTTTCAGGGAGCAAACTATGATATATTTTCTTTTCCCCCATGTAGACACATCTACATTCTCTCCAGCAATTCATCCTGCTGGGACCATGCCCAGGGCTCTTGTCCCTCTCCCACCATCCCCAGTCCCCCAGGTGACACCAACCCACTTGGCAGCTCATTTTCACAAGAGCCCCTCACACTCACAGCATTTTTTTGCTCCAGAACAAGTCTGCCAGTAGCACAGCACGAGTGTTCACCCTCCTGTTCCCCAGATCCAGCTGGGTCTTCACCATGAGCTTCCTGATTCATGTCCAACCAGCATCAGCAGGTCCAGCTGCAGCTCCCAGCTTTTGGGAACAGCCTTTCCCCAGCTCACGCTCCCTTCACCCATGGGTCACACAGCTTGCAGAGCTCACACAGGGCCCATCAGAAAATAATTGGGAAATAATAACAACAGAGAGGAAAGATGGACATAGGAGAAAAAAAACCTCACACTCCCCAGGAAGTCTCTGAGCAGCCACTAAAGCCCAAGGTCCCTTTTCTCCTCTTCCTCTGGCTGAATCAACCCAACCAGAGCCCCACATTGGGCACTACAGCGCGTGTCCTGCCCTTTGTATCTCCCTGGGTGGGGTGGGGTGACCCAGCTGAGCCTTGTCCCACTCATCAGGCTGGGCCTGGAGGGAGGGGGCCAAGCTCCTGGGCACCCAGCAGTTTGGGCACCAGCGTTTAACCCTTTCCTTGTCAGCCTGCGTAACCCGTCGGTCCCTCGCTGTGAACGAGCATCTCTGGGGCGTGTTTCTGCTGTAAACTGTGTCCTCCATGGTCACGGGTGGCAGCTGAGCCTGCCCAAGCCCTGGCTGTGGGGATGAGTGGGGCGAGAGCTGGCACACTGACCTGGGGCCAAACCCAGGAAATCTCAGCAGGGGTGGCCAGTGCAGTGACACTGATGTGACATTTCCATTCTGGGTGCAAAGCGCAGCGTGGGGCTCAGGTCCGTGCCGTGCTCCTCTGCTCCAGCACAGCAGCTCCCAGTGCTTCCCACTCACCTATTCAGCACCTGGCACCCCAAAACCTCACCCTGAAAACCCCTGTCTCTGCTCCAGTGGTTTGTGTCTCTGCCCCATAGCACCCTCAACGTGAAGCTGTGGGAAGCAGCACCCAGCCCTTCCCGGCGGGACCAGGCTCCTGCATGCACCCATCTTGGTTTGGAAGGGTCTCGTGGCTCCTGCCCACCCACGGCAGCGGTGGCAGGGGGTCAGCGTGCTCGGGTGCCGGGGTGTTGGGCTGTTGGCTACGCGCCGTGCCGACCCGCAACGGTCTCATGCTTCCTTCTTGTCTGCAGGCTGGCTCAGGTGCTCCGATCACCTGCTGCTTGCGGGAACAGGAAAGCAGCAACTGAAGATCGAGGGGGACTTTTGGTTTACTCAGATGACAAGAGACAATTTTGGTTCCCCAAAAGCCAAGGAAACAAAGCTGTCAGGCTTTAATGGTAGCTTGTCTCCTTCCTGCAGCATGTTTATGGGCAAACAAGCTGCAGATCAAACCAGGCAAACAGCAGCAGGTGAGGCCAAATACCAATAATTAATACTGAATGGCGAATGTGGCTGTGTTGATGCTTGTTGTGTGGAGGGAACGTTGTCTAATGGCTGAAGCACTGTTACAGGACTCAAGAGACCGGCTCAGTTTCCAGCGCTGCCGCTAACCCCTATGTGATGCTGGGCCAGCCGCCCGCTCCGGTTCTCCCTCCGCACCTTCCGCGTCCCGCTGCCGAGGGTGTGAGCTCCCCATGACACAGGGGACCCTGTCCTGTGCCTGCACGTGCTGAATGTGCCAGGGCTCTGGCCTCGGCTGAGGCTCTGAGGCAGAAGAGCGATGCCAATGCTGATGTTCTGTGATGGGCACCCAGCGCTGGTGCCTGCATGGTTCGCTCGTGGCACAGAGCAGGGCTGCCTGGGCTGCTCTGGGCATTGACCTTGGCAGCAGCAGGCTCTGGGTTTCCAGTTTCTGTTTCTGACAGTAGCATCATTCCTAAAAATGCCAGTGTGTGTTTCGAAAGTCTCGTGGTGTCTCCATGCTGTGCATCGCCATCCATCCCTGCCTTCCCACCGCCCTGCCCCTGCCCGCACACTGCTGCTGCCGGCGGGACGACTCCAGCACCCCAGTTCTGTATCAGACCCATCTCCAGCCCCATTTTCCACAGGCTCTGGTGCCAGCTGGCTTGTCTCCTCCCCAGATGCCAGGTTTCATGGACATGTTTCACAGCAAGGCAGGTTCCTCTCTCCCTTGCATGGCTGCTCGGTCCCTCGTGCATACGCAGGTCCCAGCCACGCATGCGGCTCCAACGCACGGCACCACATGATCCCAGGCATGCACAGATCTGCCAGCTTAGAAATGATGCAGAGCTCTTTGCAGACAGACAAAGCACATGGCACGACAAGTCCCACCTGCTCTCCAGGGGTGTCTGCTGGGTGCTTGGACCTGAAGTGACACACGCCTTGGCAGCAACGCGTGGATATCTGTAAAACAAGCTCTGAATTTATTTTAAGGGTGTCCCCTAGAGACAAATATAACCTGTTCTGGGACTGTGGAAGAAAGCTTTGAAGTTGCTGCTTCCTGGAAGTAGCTCTGGTTTCCTACATCTTGTGGTGATGTTCCTCTATTTGTTCTTCCCTCAACATCCCTCAACCAGCTGCAGTCGTGGCAAACGCCAGCACGGCAGTGGCTGACTGCAGCAGGGCACCAGCACATCTCACCCTTCGAAACTGAACGTACCTCAGCTCTTTCCATTCTTCTTTCAGAACATCAGCCACCTCTATGTAACACACGCTACTTTTTTATTGCCACGCCAACAAGTGGTTGAGCTGCATTTACAATATGTTGATTTTAAGTGGCCCTAGTAGATCCAGTCTGGGTACCCTCCACAGTTAATTTTGGGGTTTTCTGTTTCATTTTATGTATTTCCTTTATAAATCCTGCATCTCGCCCTGGTATTCGCTTGCAGGAACCATCTGAATGTGAGTTATGGAACAGTCACTACTGAGGAACCACAAAGAATGCCAGGGCTGAAATGATCTGGAGCGATGGCATTTGCAATCCTCTTTGGATTCTTTCAAAACCTGCTTTTTTTTTTTCCAGAGTTTAACTGGTTATTAACTTCAGAACATAAAAACCAAAGAGATTTGGTACCAGTTTCAGCCACAGTTTTAACCTATAAACCTTTATTGCACCTAAGAACATTTCTTACTGGAACAATGTATGGGAAAGCCGTGCCCGTTTCACCCCGGGTGTGACGATGTGATGCTGCAGCCACCAGTGCCTGCCCAACCTCTGGTGGTAACTGACTTTTTGCTCATTAAGTCAAAGGAAGTTTGTGCTGGATTAATTAGGTTTGATCTTCTCAAGCTTCCTTTAAACCAGGGATGATGAAAGTTTAGGGCTGCAGCTCGTTGAGGGATCAATCCCAAAGCTGAAGTCAAAGAGACTCTTTCCACAGGTTCTTGTGGGCACACACTGGCACACAGGGCTCTTGGCCACCCCGGCACCTCCCGGGTTTTATCCAGGACACGACGGTCGTGGCTCAGCCCTGCTGACCCCATCCAGTGGGACGCAGCCTGCACAGAGCAGGGGCTGGAGCTGCCATCCCATCCCAGAGCTGGGAGAGGAGCAGCACTGTGTCCTGCCACCCCAATCCATGAGTGCCCAGTGGGGACTGGGATGGGAGCTGGTCACAGGGCCAGGCAGTGATGCTGGGACAGTCCCAAGCCTTCCAGGAGACCAGCCCAAAACCTTGGGTTTAATTACAGAGGAGCTGGGAGGGGTGGGAAAGCAGGAGAGAGCAGAGTCCAGGCTTCTTCCTTCTTTAAAAAATTATTTAGTTTCATCACCCCACCTCTCTTCTTTATTAAGGGAAATAAGGAACTCGCTGAGATACCCCAGCCAGCCATGCTGATGCCCAAGGATGGCAGCGTGTGGGTGCTGGGGGCTCAAAAGCTGCCAGGAGAGTCCCTGAGCAGCTTTCCCTGGCTCTGGAGTCTCAGCCATGGTCTCCTCTTCTCTCTCCCTTCCTTGTCTCCCAGTGCCCATCCCCTCGAAGGCCAATGGCACCAGCATTTCCACCCTGTCAATGAACAAAGATGGCCTGATCGGAGGGGTGACGAATCCCAATGAGGTCTTCTGCTCCGTGCCTGGCCGCCTCTCTCTTCTCAGCTCCACCTCCAAGTACAAGGTGACGGTCGGGGAGGTGCAGAGAAGGCTCTCGCCCCCCGAGTGTCTCAACGCTTCTCTCCTCGGAGGAGTTCTCCGCAGGTAAGAGGCTCCTGGGAGCCCAGGGACAGCCCAAGGGTGCCAGGCTGTGCTGCTGAAACACGTCGGGTGAGGCTGAAGTGAGCTCTTACCTCTGAGATTAATGGAGATGAGAAGTTCTGGTGTGTGGTGCACGGGGCAATAGCATTGGTGTTGCTTTTCCTTCTTTCCTTTCAAACCTTAAACTGGGATTATAGTTATTTCAACAATAATTGTAATTTCTCCTCTTCCTTTCTTTTCTCTTTTCAGAGCAAAATCCAAAAACGGGGGTCGGTGTTTAAGGGAAAGATTAGAGAAAATCGGCTTAAATCTACCTGCAGGAAGGCGCAAAGCTGCCAACGTCACCCTGCTGACATCCCTCGTGGAAGGTAAGAGCCGAGGAGCATGGGAGGGTCGAAACTTCAATACCCTTCATTTGCAGCTTTCCACACATGAGAACACTTCAAATATGCAGCAGTCACCACCGACGGAGACTGGAAACATCCCCAAGTCAGTCTCCACGCTGATTCAAGCGTGTCTGTGTGTGAAACTCAGACATTGCTGTGGGACCAGTCATAGCCCACAGGGAAAAGTCACCCATGGCCTGAGCGGGGCCGTGAGGTTCCTCTGGGCTGTATCCGAGGGCACCGCTCATGTCTGTGAGCTGGTTCTGGTAACACTTCGTCAGGTTCACAGACACCAAACACAACAAAAGCTTGAATAAAGCTGCCAAATTCAGAGCTGTTCTATAGCACTGTGCACCCGCTGAGGACCCAGTGTGGGTGCTGCCCACCCTGCCACCCTCAGCAGCATCACCCTGTTCTGCCCAGCCTCCGTCATCACACTCGGGTCCATGTCTCATAGAACTATTTGGTTGGAAAAGACCTTTGAGATCATCAAGTCCAACCGTACCTGTCCAATACTAAACCATCAGAAGGTCTCCTGTAAGGAGGTGCCCCACAGCTGAGTCCTGCCCTCCTCCCCTGGGACAGCAGGGGACAAGTGAGACCCAGAGGAGAGACCACACAGCTCTGAGGTCTTGCAAGCAGAGGTGAAGGTTGTCACCACCATCCCCAGAGCGCAGCATTAAGGGCTTGACCACGGCACCCACGCTGGGCAGGCGGCGTACTCCCAGCCCTGCCGTGTGAGGTGCCCCTGTTTAAAGCCACTTGTTTATTTGCTCCCCTCCCACTTTTTTTTGGGCGATGGAAATGATGATGTCGCCACTGGAGCTTGGGAGAAAGGGACACGGGACACAAACAAACGCAATGACAGCTCCGGCTCCCTCCGAGCTTTGGAATCCATTGTGTTTGCTCCCAGCGTGTTGGAGGCAGCTGCCTGCAGGTTCTGAATAGAAAATCATCTCCATTGTTGGCAGCAAATTAAATGACCCGCTTCATTAGGCCGAGGTTGTTACTGAGGGCAGTTGGTTCGTGCTGAATGAAAGGCTGATTTCCATTAAAAGAGAAGAAAGAAAAGAATGAAAGAAAGAAAGGAAGGAAGAAAAGTACATTTTGATTTCAGGTGGCTGCTGATGTTTTGGTTACTACTCACCAGCTCATAGGAAATACAAGAGCGGTGCCATGTGTGCTTGGTGGATACAATTTCTTCCTGCAGACAAGAGTCACGGTGCTGGGAGATGTTTCACCCAGAGGAAGGTGCCATGGCATCATCATTACTCAGCATACAGCAATTGCTTGTGCCCCTTTGCCCCAGACACCCTTTTCCTTGGACGTTTGGACCTTGGTTTAATTTTTCTCCCCTCTCCCTTCCCAATGTCTGTTTATTTTTAAAAAATCCTGGGTGTTTTTTTGAATGCTGAGGATCGACTTTTACTTACATTGACCTACAGATGTTAAGAGGTGCTGGAGAGCCCAGGGAGCATGATGAGGACTGTGGGTAGAAACACACCTTCCTTTGGGAGCCTTCACCACCTACACTGAGCACTTGCCCTCTCTTGGGCACCTGTTCTGTGGGAATAGCTCCAGCAGGACCCCGGGGAGCAGCGAGGCTGTATTTCAGCTTCGGAAACATCCCTAAGGATCCCTCAGGAAGGGGTGTGCATTCAGACAGGTTCCTACCGTGGCCCCCCGAGTGCTCTCCTCCAGCCTCTCCTCCTTTCAAAAGCCAGATCACCTTGTCCCCTCCGCTGTCACCTCCCTAAGCCAGCACCCCAACTGCCTTTAAAACCTTCCTCTGCGCAGCCACTCGCAGACACTGATGGAGGAAAAAAATCCTGGTCCAGGCTCGGCTCTCACCGTGAGGTCACACAGCTCTTTTTTCTTGTCACAAGAGCTGTTTCTCAGCAGCTGTTACTTCCCGATGGTTTTTTGGCACACAGACGACTGCAGTTCCGATTCTCCAGGTTCACCTTATTCGCTCCTTCTTTGGAAGAGGCGACGAAGCAGAAAGCGTTATCGTCACACGGGAGGCACAGACACTTTCCCCATAACATGGGTTCACAGACTGAGCTCCAGGAGCTGGGGAGACTGGGATGGGATCTAGGTTAATGCTATTAGGATGGATGGCCTAATATGTATGAGCAGCAGGGGGGCAAGTCGAATTAGCTCTGCCTGCCCGACCGGGATTTCGGGTGTTGGGCATGATCAATTGCCATCAGCTCGGATTATTTCCACGGGGACGCCTGGAGATGGATCAATTCCATCAATGGGTGGGCATTTCCACGGGGTGATGGATACGCTGCCTGTGTGTCCAGCCCGAGGGCTCGCTGTAAATCCCTTCCTCCTGCCCATTGCTCACACCCCCGTTTTGTCTCACAGTCACAGGGCTAAGGTCGCCTTTCCACCCCCCAGCCCCTGTTTAAATCTCTGTTGAATTTGGAGAGGCCAAGCAGAAAATTTTGGAAGTGGGGAGCGAAAGATGTAGCAAGGGAAGTGTCCAAGTGAGAAACACCTCTGTCACCCAGAGAGCTCTTGGGTGGCAAGTGAGAAAGGAACGTGCTCCAGTCGTGGCAGGAATAAGCCACATGGGTGAGGTGGCTGCAGCTGCTGCAGAAAGTGTTCCCCTTCCACACTGACACCCCTTGTCGATCTGTCCTGCTCGTAGGTGAAGCCGTTCACCTGGCTCGGGATTTTGGGTACGTGTGTGAAACAGAGTTCCCAGCCAAAGCGGCAGCGGAGTACCTGTGCCGACAGCACTCCGACCCCACGGAGCTCCACACCAGGAAAAACATGCTGCTGGCTACCAAGTGAGTACAGATGGCAACGAGCCACCACCACATTAGCTACCCACAGCCTGGAAGGGCACAGTCAGCCCTGAAAGCTTTCCCTTCTGTGGGAAAAAGATGGTCTCATATGCTGAACACAGATCCCAGAATTGCCTGGGTTGGAAAAGCCCTTTAAGCTCATCGAGTCCAACCATGAACCCAACACTGACCAGTCCCCTATGACTAACCCATGTCCCTCAGCACTGTGTCTACACGACTCTTCAATCCCTCCAGGGATGGAGACTCCACCACTGCCCTGGGCAACCCCTTCCAATGCCTCAGAACCCTTTCAGCAAAGAAATTCTTCCTCACATCCCATCTCAACTGCCCTGGCCACAACTGGAGCCCATTTCCTCTTGTCCTGTCCCTTGTTCCTTGGTTCAACGGCCCCCCCCCCACCTCTCTCCACCCTCCTTTCAGGGAGTTGTAGAGCCAGAAGGTCTCCCCTCAGCCTCCTTTTCTGAAAGACCTGCAGCAAGGTGAAGTGTCAGCATGGATTGAGGGGCTTGGCCCTGGGTTCACTTAACCCCAGGTGGCATTTCAGCTCTGCCACACGTGCCCCTTCGAAGCAGCAGCAGCTGTGACTCTGCAGGCAGGGGCTGAAAACTGCCAGAGCGGAGGCAGCTGCTTGGGCAGGGAGGAGGAATAGAGACCCCCCAACCCACCTCCATCCCTGCAGCTCTCCATCGGCATTTCCACTCACGCAACCTTTTCTCTTGCAGGCAAATTTGTAAAGAGTTTGCAGATTTGATAGCCCAGGATCGCTCACCGCTGGGGAACAGCCGCCCCTCGCTCATCTTAGAGCCGGGTGTCCAGAGCTGTTTGACTCATTTCAGCTTGATAACCCACGGCTTTGGGGGTCCCGCCATCTGCGCGGCGCTCACGGCCTTCCAGAACTACCTGGTGGAGTCCCTCAAGGGGCTGGATAAAATGTTCATGAACAGCACAGGGAACGGGCACACGGCTGGAGACTCCAAAGCGTCAGAAAAAGAAGCGAAGCATCGGAAATAACGTGCTGGCTCCATCCCTCCTTTGTCCCCGTGGGAGATTTCCCTGGTTACCAGAAGAGACCCAACAGCACCAAGGGGAAAGACCACCCTGCACACCATTCTCTGAATGGCAACAGTTGAACTTGGGATGAAACTCAACAAAGACAAGACAAAAAAGAAGATTTAAAGGATTTAAGAAGAAAACAACTCTAATGGACGCAGTGAGATGGAGAAAATAAGCCAGGTTAATGGCTTTTGCCTTTTTTTTTCTTTTTCTTTCTTTTTTTTTTTTTTTTGAAATCGTGGATGCAGGAAGCCAAGTCATGTGCAATTTTATTTTGTTTTGTTTTTTTTTTAAAAAAAACCTGTAGTGAAATCCTGACATGCTCCAGGAATTTGTTCCAATTGAAAAAAAAAAACTGAGAAGAAAGAGCAAAAGCCTCATCAATGTAAGAACCAGAGGCACAAGCAGGGAGCCGGGGTGCTGGCTGGACCTGGATTTATCACACAGGAAACCTTCCTATTTCCCCACCTACAGCCCAGTCCTCAAGCCAGGCCGAGAGAAAATTGCCAGCAGAACTGCTCTGGATTTAAAGCAGTTTCGGACTTTGTTTACAGTTTTCAAACTGAGACTCAACGTGGATTTTCCCCAGGGCTGGGCAGCTCTGAGCCGTAGGGCGAGGGGAGGAACAATCCACACATCCGAGGGTTCCCGGGGCAGGAGCTGATCCAGGAGAACCTTCCCCATGGCTACGGTCACAGCTGGGGATAAAGCAGGTGAAGTTAAACCCAGGACTAATTAAAACTCCACAACCTACAGATAACAGCACACAAGTCTCTAAAATTAATAATAAAGCACAAGGGGCAGAACTTGAACCAGGCCAAACTGAACTGTTCTAAATCTGTATATATTTATTTATGTGTAATTAAAATCTGAAAGTTTTAAAATGTCCAGTGCAAGTTATTTATATCAAATTGAGTTTTGGGGTTTTTTTTTGTTTTGTTTTGCCTTTTTTGGGGGGTGGGGGGTTTGAAAGGTGAAAGTCTTTGGATTTTCTGCCACTAGAAATGGGAATGAAGTTTTGGATACACAAAACTGTAGCATGGACAAGATAGGCTGTGATGATAATGACTATAGAAGTTCTGCAGGATTTTGTACTTGCTGTTGTTTCTCTTAATGCTGCAATAGATGTACAACACCCACACCACAATGTCATTCTCATTATCTTAATAAACCTCTTTTTATTTGAAGAAAGCATCTCCATCATCTTTGTCAACAAGGATCCTTCAGCTTATGTGGTTGTATCTTGAAATGTTTTTATAGATTTAAGAAACAACATCCTCCAGTTTCATGGCTGATGTTGGACTGGTGTGTGCAATCAGAAATAGTTCAGAGGATGAGGGGGGCTGGTGTTAATGCCCCTGATCTTGCCTCTGATAATGCTGGAGATGAACAGTGAAATGATGCATTTGCAGATGTTTCAGCACAACTTGGGATAGTCAAATCTAAACCTGTCTGTGAAGAGCTGCAGAAGAACCTCGTGGTATCAAGACAAGGAGTGATAAATTAGCAGATAAAATAACCCTACTCATCTATAGGCAATGAAGCTCTCTAGATTAGCTGCTGTGTTTGTGTTATTAAGGACAGGACTCTGCAAACAGCCACCTGGTACTCACAGGAGCTTGGAAATAGAAACAAAATGATGGGAACTGTTAGAAAAGGATTAACAAACCAGAAAAGAGATGACACTGTGTGACATACGTGTGCTTGTGTGGTGTTGCTCTGTCTTGAATGGCACTTGCAGATCTGGCCAGCCCAACTGGTAAAGCCATGGAGAAAAGCTGCCAGGGAGATGTCAGGTAGGAATGGAGACCAAGGGGTTGGAGCTGCAGCATTTGTAAAGGACACAAGCAGCATATGACAGGGAGAGGGAGAACAACATGTAAAAGAATACAAGCAGGGAATGAGGACACTAAAACTAGAGGCAGGACACTACATGAAATTAAGCTGGTGAAGGGTCTTGTAAGGAGCAGCTGAGGGAACTGGGGTTGTTTAGCCTGGAGAAAAGGATCCAATCCAAGCAGTTCTGGGATTCTGTGAAATAGCCAGGAAGCAGGTTTAAATAAATGAGCAGAAGACATGTAAGCATCTACAGCGTTCCATGGAAGCCAACTTGTAAATGGCCTTGGACACAAAGGAAGGGGGTGATTGCAGAGAGCACATCTGCAGGCTTCCTACACACCCACTGCTTGTCCCAGCTGGAGACTGGGCAGATGAACACGGGTCTCAGTCCTTATAGCACTTGTTACGCTGGACCTTTCTCAGTCGTACCCATCAGTTTTCTCTGGAGGTTGCAGAATAGGCTGATGATAATAGAGAAATAATTAAACTATCCCAAAAGGGCCACAGGCTTCTGGAGGGCTCTTCCTTTCAGAAAAATGTGAAAGGAAATATTTTATGTACTAACATAATTTCTGGGGATGGTTCCGAGTCAGAAACTTGCATCTAAATACTCACTTCAAAAGCTGAGGGATGCATGTAAATTGGGAATTGGATTGGAAATGTCCCTTGCTATGAAAGGGACATTTTTTTGTTGTGAAAGCAAAGACTTAAATGACGGGCTCTGCAGGTCTGGTTTTGCTCTGGACCTTCCCAAAGGAAGAGCCAGGGAACAAGGAGGAGCCAGGGAGCAGAATGGAAATACTACAGACACCTTAGAGCCTTGTTTACACTTCAAAGCTATTTTGGATAATGCAGGGTGTGAGCTGAAAGCACTAAAACTATTCCTATTTAAAAGTCTCCCCAAATGGGAGTGCCCTGTTCTGTCTGCATCAGCATAATCCACGTTTAAAATGGATTATGATAAAGGAGAGTAAGGTGCTTTTGTGCTGCAATACAGGTTTCCCCACATGGACCCTACACAGAGGTATTTAGGATAACTATCCTGAAATAATGCAATTTGTAGACATCCTCTGGTGCACGGTATCAGAGAAGAGCAAACTACGTCGCGCTACATGATGAAAGTAGATGTGTGCACACTATAATATACAGGCGTGAAATATAATTTCATAGTGTAATCATATTATGAAAACCTGACGTGGTTAGGACACTCTTTGAATATCAAGGAATTCTTAGACATAGCAGCAATGAGCAATAGCAACAGAGAATCAGGAGATGCCCACAGGAATTAGATGTCGTGTCCATGGGGTGGAACAACACCTCCCTCCTCATTTTCCTCTTTGGGGACCTGCAAAGCTTTTGAATGTTTTATGAGGAACAGTCTGGTGCCTGGAAGACCAGGATGCCACCAACTACCTTTTAATTGGTAGGAAGTTTGATGATTTGGACTCACTTGTTGATTCCACCACAGATGTTCAAGACTGATGATGGGTGTGTCATGTAGGATCAACTTTCTAAACAACATGGAGACTTCCACTGCCCAAAATTTCAGATATCAATCTCTGCAGGCCCACAGAGATACCCAAGCAGAGCACAGCTTTCAGAGGTTGTACCAGGCCAATTATTGTTTGTAAGGAGTTAGGACTGGAGTTTCCCTCCCAGCTGTTGGTCAAACAAGGCCATCCCTTGATGAGTTCTTTGCCTTTCCATCCTAAGAGGGGAAAAAAAGAAATCCCAACAAAAAAAAGCCATTTTACACAATTCATGGCTCAACCCTGATATGAATTCCCACACTGATTACAAATATTATCGTGGGAAAATACGTGGGATTGTGTCAAAGAGTAAAAATAGATTCAGACTCATGGTTTCTACGCTTGTTATAGAACACACTGGAATTTCAGTCCTAAAGGGGAATTGAAAAAAAAAAAAAAAAATCTTTTTTGAATTAATTTTGAATGAATGACAAGTCCAGGGAAACCACATGACAATCCTTGACAAGTGAGAAAGAAAAAAACCCAAACCATTAATAAAAACTCTTCATTCCCTATCAGTCAGCTATCCCAAGGGTAAACTGAGGTTAACATTGAACTGGGACTCTGTCCTGTGTCATTAATGTAAACAAGCAGAGGTTTTGTTGGCATTCTGCATGGCTTTGGACAGACTAAATCATTACCTCTAAGCAGGCTACCTTAAAAGCACCAGGGTAATAACAGCTCTCCATACTAAAATGACACAATAAACAGACTTTGCTGACCTGTAGTTAATGCATTCCTTCATATATGAGAGAGTCCATTAAATTCCAGACTTTACATACAAGATCCAAGGAGCCACAGCATCAGTGAGCAAAGGAAGCTTCTCCAGTTAGTGCAACTGAATCAAAAGACCAAAACAAAAAATCATTTTCAAATCAGGAAATAAAAAAAAATGTTATTTGCAAGGGCAACAAAATGTTTGCTTTGGAGATTCTGGATTTAGCAGCCGAGACAGAGCGCAGTGTCATGTGCAGCACACGACCACAGCCTTCATTATCCTAACAGACTTTGGGAGAAACAGCCTAAACCCACTCATTACCCAAACCCAAACACGCTGTGCCAGAAGGTATCATTCTGGTCTTCTTCCCTGACCTCCTTTATATTGCAAAGAATTCCCACTGTGGCCACCTGAGCATCACTGCGTTTTCAATGGCACACCATAAACAGTGATAATAATTCCAGACATTGAATATACACCCAAGCTTTGGCCCCATAATCACAGTTCTGAAGCGTTCCAGGAACCTCTGAGGTAGGCAGGCAGCAAAACTGGGGCCTTTGTTATTCTGGGTGGCTCCTTTATATGTTTTTATCCTGCCACCTTCAGATGCTTCTCATTTGATTCTTCTCAGCAGAGAAAAGGCTGAAGTTATACCCTGAAATTCAGCAGTATTTCCCATGAGGATAGCTTCATTTCAGTAGCAAAGGTTGTAGCCAAAGATTTGTTAAATGGAGATAACTCAGCTTTTTTCGGGGGTGTGAAATGAGTTCAGAGAAAGATCAAGCTATTGCTCCAAGTCAAGAAGTTCTGCAGCACATCAAGATGTGTCTGGATGCTACAGTCTTCTCACCTGCTGATGGGTCTGTCCATGC